GCAATTTTTTTATATAAAGTAATTGATAATTAATCAATTTCTAAAAATATAATAGAAATCAGATGGTTTATCTATCTTTTGGATAGGCACTTAAATGCAATCAAAAATATGACAAAAAAGGTGGTGGAAAAAGACTAGCAAAAGAAATAATAGCTGCATTGATCCGTTTTTTTATGATAGAGCAACATGATCCTAGTGATCAATATTTTGCAAAAGATATGTTAGATAAATTGAATGAAATGGCAGAAAACAGTGAACTTTCATATGAAGTAATCCCTTCTTTAAAAAAAATTGAAAGCTGAATTACTAGATTTTTAAGTTTGTTAAAAAAGGAACATACAGAACATTTCTAGAAGAATAAAAAGTTTTTATTGAGAGTTTGATTTTATATATATAAAATAATAATAAATATTGAAAATTTGCAATAAATACAAACTATAAAATGGTCTAAATGATTACCTATTGCTTTAGAATCTTCACATTCTAATTAGTACGGCAATAGTTTATTATTATTGCTAAACTAGATTTTTTTTTTTTTTTTTTTTTTTTTTTTTTTATTATTATTATTGAATTTGCTGTATACAGGAAGAGATAATTACAAGTTTATATCAAGATGATATATTAAAAAAAAAACTATCTACTATTTCTTGTATAACCACCTAGGTGTAGCAAAACACCTCTTAATTTTCTATTTATAAACTAACTTAAGACTAGCTACTATTAGTTTTAGAAGTGGGAAAGAGGAGGCCCAGATTAATAAAAGTGTTTAAGTTTAATGAAGTATAAGAAAAGAGAAGAATAAAAGTGAAAAACAATAAAATAAAATAAGAATAGAAAGAGAAAAAATAAAGAGATATAAAATTAACGGAAATAGAATTTTTATAGTAGAAAGTATATAAATAAAATTAAAGAGAATTTTTTTTTTAAATAATAATAAAATGTTGAATGTTCATACTGTAGTCAGTAATGTTACCTCAGTGCACTGGGTAAGACAACCTACTGATGGAGTCAAACTCACAACCCTACAATAGTTATGAGCGTTCTAATCTACTGTACTACAGGGGTTAATGAAAATCAGATTTTTTACTCTTTTTAGCAATGCTTTGTTTAAAATTAACCAATTATATTGTAAAATTAAAGCACATGTACGATTAATTTGTGAATAAATATTTAGCTACATTTGAGGTTTACGGTTTCTTTGTTAAAAAATGTGTAAACATCGATATCGACGCAATCATTTGAAGCGCAGTTTTTATCATAGCGGAGGTAAAAGCAATGATAATAATAACAATAATAATGTTATTGTTGTTATTTCAGATGAAGAGACTGTAGAAAAGTCAGAAGAAGTTGCTATTGCTTCAAGTGAAGAGGTTGTAT